AACCAAACCAAACAAGGTTTTTGCACGTCATCAACCTTGACACGTGACAAGCTGGCTCAAATAATAATGAAAGGATCTATCTACATGTAGTTGTTCCCAGCTGCAAATGAGTTGAAGTAATTTCATAACGCCCCAAATGTGTCAAAACAAATGTAGGAACAAACTTGGACTTGAAGTCTGAACCAACTGAACTGAGTGAAAATCAGTGATTTCTACCTAAAACTGAAGGTGGCCCGACCAACGTCTTGACCACTAAGGCGCACGTCGTTGCCTCCTAGTAAAATTGAACCAAAAGCGAGTGCCTGAAAAATGAGAATTTGACAAAAATGTCGAAAAGCCTTTTTTCTTTACCAGCTGAAGCCTTTCTTAGTGTTTTCCACACCCTCTGGGACTAAGAGAAAGACCGAAGTCTCTCATTCACATGCACCAGTTCTCTTCAAAGTTACGAAAAGCAACCACTAACTTCTGCAGTACCCCAATCAATGCCTTCACCAGCCACGACCTTTTGGATACGTGCTTCGCAATGCGTCTTTTTTCAAATGAGGATGCACATTCTGAAATTGAAAAACTATATCTTGATATAGACTAGACAATCTAAAGAAGAACAGATTATCTTTTTCAACGCTCCCACAAAACATGATATAATCAAGAATGTTGAGTGATATGCAAAACTTTCTAGCCCCGCTCGAAAATTGAACCCGAGTCCCATTCATATCAGGGAAGCGTTCTTCCACTACACCATGAGGCAATCGCTCTGATGCCACTTTGTTCACCATACTTGTTGAAAGTTCGGTTGTGAGGCTTTGATGCCTTGTATCGAAGAAAGACTGCTGGCCCCAGTGGTGTAATGGTAGCACGCGCCACCGGTTCGGGTGAAGCGCGGGTTCAATTCAAGCCTGGGATCGAAGGTTTTACATATCACTCAACACCTTCGGATATATAAACATAACTCATGACTCATAACTACTAGAAGGTGGTAAAACAAAATTTTTGTAGACCAAACATGATATGGTTCGAGAAAATCGAAACATACGGCCATCGATAAACAAGGAAAGGTTATTTCTCCACAAAATATTACCATGCGGACAAGGTTAACCACAATTTTGCGGCTTCTAGAGGAAACAAAACTCACAAAACTCTCTGGAGTTTGCAACAGAAGCAGCTCCAATATACTTAAGTAGACTGATGTCACAGCCAGTGTCCCACCTTTGCACTTCAGCTGGTGCCTGTACAAAGCCTTTCCAGTAACCATTTAGGTGATTCGCTCTAAACTGTGTGGTCTATGGATTCAAATTCCATAGTCATGTCTGATACATTCCAGCACAAGGCAAACACGGATTACCCGAAATACTAATGTTAGTGCTCCCCGAGATGTATCCTTTCTGCTCGGCTCAGATATAAGTTTTTAGGTTATTAAATTTATTCAACAAAGAAGTAATGGATGAAGCCCTTAGCGTGATCAATCCCTGAACGATGCGCAATGTTCTCTCTTTCGCCAAGCATCTATTGAGATGACTGAATGCAAATTTGGCAGTTCCAATGATTAGCAGTGGCCTAGCGATGTTATAACCATTTCGGGACCGTGGACCCACAACCTCTGCGTCTCTGACCAGCAGCGCTGGACGGTTTGCTCCACCTCCTCTGCATCTCTAGCCTCTGCGCCATTGTTAGACGCAGCATGCTGGGGATTAGAGATGCAAAGGATATGGAGACCAGCGTTGTCAATCAGAGATGCAAAGGCTGTGGGTCCACAGTCTCGAAATAAGTTAGCGCTGCTATCCTCCGACAAGTCTGTTATCAATATGCCGAATAGCTTGGCGGGCCATGGGTGCGGGATCGAACCATTAAGCACGTGTGTGCTGCAGGACACTTATAACCACTAGGCCATACGAGCCCATTATTCCAGGTTACTAAATTTATGAAAAAAATTCATCTCTAGAAAAACGTACACAGGAGGAGTTGAGTCAACAGCTCGAAAAGAATCCATTAAATTTGCCGTATGCGCTTCTTTTTCTTTCTTCACATCGTCCTCTGTGAGCAATCCTTGATCAATTAGTTCATCTGCGTATTGCCGTGGCACAGACTCACGGTTCGTAATCACCTGAACGGATGTGATAATTTTGAGGCAACCTCAGTAAGCATTCTATGACATCTGCATAATACGGATATGGAACTTTTCATTTGTTGGAATTGTAGGAACCAAATAGACCACGTATCTGCTCCACAGAGATATCTCTACCCAGCTAGTCACGAGGACACCTGACGTAACTTCAAGTGTTGGATAGGGGTAGGGACACAGCTTCAAGTATCCGATAGATATTAAAACGCAAACCAGAAGCGATCCCGTGCTTACCTCAAACGCAGATGGCTTCAGGTGACGGCCTTTCCGTTTCTAAATCGCCAATTTGGCATACCTTCATTTATGCAAGCCAAGGTAGCCAAAGAAAGAAGGCGCCTTCATCAACCATTTCGCGACCGTGGACCTACAGGCCTCTGCATCTTTGACCTAGCGTGTTGCGCCTAACAATGGCACGCAGCTGTGTTTGGCAATGCCATGCTGCTGCATTTCGCAATGGTACGCTAGGGGTTAGAGATGCAGAGGAGGTGGAGCAGACCGCCAATTTTTGCTAGTTGGAGATCAGAGGCTGCAGGTCTGTGATCGCGAAATGCTTGAGTAGGGCTTCTAACTGTTTGTGGGATATTGACTAGCAAACAACTTGCGAGTACGCAGCCATCAAGTTCAAAGCTCAAAAAGCTATATGTTGATATGAAAAAGATGAACACAGCAAAGAATACGAGATAGTTCAGTGAAGAATATGGGTGTAATTATTGATACATAATGATTAAAATTAGATAAGAAGGAAACATCCTGATCCTGGATGCCATCGTAATTTTGAATCCGTTCACTATTTCAAAACATCAAATTATGTTCATGCTCTCACAAAGGATACTAATGAGTGAAAAATTGTGTCGTGGCTAATGGAAAATAGATGAACAATAGACAAAGCTGTCGGTATTGATCAATTGATGATATGCCATGTATTAGACTTCATCAACCATCGTTTATGAAGATTGAACGCATATTTGGCCTTTTCAATGACTCGCGGGGACCAAATGATGAATCAGTTCGGTGCGACTATCCTTCAGAAGAAGTCTGGTACTGATTCGCCGATCCAGAAGAGACGGAAGGCTTGATGGGCCTTAAGCGCGGATTCGAACCTGACCGACGTGTGTATCGATAGATACCTTTCACCACTGCGCTACCTCACCTTCCATAAAATACAATTCCGGAAAGTTTCTGAAAAAGAAAATTTTGATCTTAACGTCTACAAACCTTGTACATGATGGGTTGAGTGAAGGAAGCATCATCGGAGCTCGTTATGGCCCCATCTTCGAAAACAAATCAGATCAATAAACACGTCCTTTCGAAAGCGATCTCTATATGCCATAGCTAACCGAGTAGCCTTGACGATGTCCTGATGACACAGATTTTTGAGTGATTTAAATCTCGAGAATCTACTTGTTTCTTGCATATACTGATGAAGACAGATAAGGATTTTACAAGGTAAAAACGCCTAACCCTTTTAGAACCACGGCCTCCGCATCTCTAGCTGCGCAACTCTGGGCGGTCTGCTCCATCTCCACTGTAACTCTAACTCCCACCGTGCCATCGTTAGAGAGCAGCACGCTGGGGGGTAAGATTTACTAGAGGCAGTGGAGCGGACTCACCAATGTTGTAAGGTTTGAGATGCTGAGGCCGTAGATCCATCGCCGCACAAAGGGTTAACAAACCCACCTCGGGATGATCACCATTGACGTGGATGATAGGATATTCGAAAGCTTTTGCCATATCTAAAAACTGTTCTCTATAAGGACTATTTTCCTTGAGAGTTGCGTCAAAGAGGAACCACTCTAACACAAACCAAACTTGAGTGATTTGAAGCTGGAATCTGTTTTCAACTGCAGGACCCAAGGTCGAATGGGTAAAGAAAGTTCTACAAATCCCAAAAGCTATCTCGGTTTGCTCGAATCCGAAGAAAACTAAGGAGATGCTCTGTACTTTGTGTCCACCCTCTTCGATTCGGCAAACCTTCCTGTGTTTGCGGATGCGCTGCGTAGTAGTAAACAATGTAGTGATATTCTAAACCGAACTGGTTTTAGGTCCAACATCAGCAAATACACTTTTACAAAAGCAAGAGTAGTGAAGGGCACTTGCGGCGAGGTATTAAAGGAGTCCTGCAATACAAATGTGATTGTTGGCTTGAGCTTTCGACCTAATTCATCAAGCTTTCCATCTCGCCGGAGTCGGAGCAGATTCGGTACGAAACATGTCCGAGAGGATAACTAGCTATACACTGATACATCGGCAGGCCGCCGCAAGGTCTTGTGAGGGTCAGATACGCATCAATAACGTCTAACTACCAGATGAAGACGAATTTATGGCGCGTCCCTTAAGGACCAATCAACATCGAACAAATTCTATCCTCATGAAAATAATGAAGCAATCACCTGAAGAAAAATCCGAAGAGCGCCCTATGTGTGCTTCGGCAGTGAATGCTACTTGGTTATTAACGATCAGATGAATAGTGCCACCAACCCGAAATGAGGTGCTCGACTAAGCGAAATCGATTCCCACACAATACCCTGGAAAGTCGAAAACACTAGGGTGAAATTCAGTCATAAATACGATGTAGTTTCAAATTGGAAGGTTACTTAGAGACTAGTGTGAGATATTAACTACTAAGTGGAAAGAAATAATAAACCGCGAGTAGATTTCCGATATCCGCAATGGACTTAAACCCTTCGCGGACAACGCATTTTCTGATTTTTTAGAGCCAGTAGCTTCGAGCTCATTCGATTTGAAGCGAATATGGCCTTTTCATTAATCTGATAGCAGCAATAATTGAATCAAGGTTTCACACTCGGCGCGTTCTCGGTAGGACAGAGCTTTTCCTCCTGAACTTTTAGTATCACTCAAAAAGCCTGACTCCAATACTGTACCTGGGTTTATGGGAACACCATTTTATTTCGCTGTAACTGCTCCGCTATGTGAATCGGATTTCGGAACATTGGCAAAAGAGCAGCGCGGTGGCTAGGGTATGTGGATGTTCTTTAGACAGATGAGATAGCGAATCGAGAAGACACACGATTATGAGCCGGAAGTGAACGGTGATCCTCTACTTGCTGCTACAGCGCATCAAAAGGCCTTTACAGGAACAAAGGCAGAAGTGAGATCGTCCGCGATTTAAGCTTCCAAATGATGCTAAAATATCTGAAGGAAATGCTCTGGTCAGCGAAGAACGAGCCAAGTGTGAAAGTTTATTTTTTCTGCTACAGCGTACTGAAAAAGGTCACCTCAAAGAGCACACATTAATTCCTGAAACTTAAGCTATCCAATGACTACTGCAACTCTTTTGAATAAGCAGTAAACTAGTTGCCTGTAGAGGGTTGAAAATGATTACGGATAACGCAAAAGTACCGAGACCGCCAAGCTAGTGTAGGAAGAGCCCTAATAGGAAGTTGACCGGAACAAACCATCACTTTCTTCCTTAGAACCATTTAGTTGAAAATTTAAAGTTATGTAAACGTTCCCTTTTTACTAGGTCGTTCCAAAGTTTTGGCAGTAGAGCAATAAACACCATTTTCATCAACCAAAAGTATTTAAAATTGCGTAATTGTGGTATCGTTCAATTAGGCACTTTCTTGGAAATACTGATATACAACTTGTCCATACTTGTTATAAGATGGAGTTGTCGAGGAGACAAAATCGCTTGCCGCTCATGCACAAATGGCGCGTAGGGAAAAATGGCAGTGAAGCGGCGCGCAATATTAATGGAGCTAGGGGCGATGATACGGTTGCAAAAAGGGCGGCTAGGAAATGGTTCGCAAAGTTTAGAGATGAGA